GAATTTAGACCACATGTGAATATAGAATATCTTTGCAAAATTTCGGCTTCGCAGTTTGTCCGGTAAAATCAAAAGACGCAGAAAAATGACCTTACAAGGTTTTATGGTTTCAGCAATTGGATAACTGCTGATTTCATGAAAATCGGATACTTTTTCAGTATGTCGTGCGGTCGAGTTGTTAGCATCGACGAGGTACTTCACACCTATTTCGGATACGTTGAAATCAGCCGAAAAAGCGGCGAATCACATATTTTGCTGAAGAATTATCTGCTCCAGAATGAATCAAGTTTTCGGGTGAATGGGTCGGTGAGGGGTGCCTGTTGTACTCACAACTATCTTTTCCTTTTGGTACCATTGGAGCAATGTGTGTACGCATTCCGGATTGATTCCTTCCTTGTTTACCGCTTAAATATCGATGAAATTGAGCGCAATCCCGGATTCAAGCCTATGACGAACATTGCCGTGGAAACTGAAAAAATGATAACGCCACGCAAGGAAAAAGATCAGCAAAAAGGAGCGCCTGAACTTGCGCATTTGAAGTTACAATCCGAAAAAAGTCTCGAGTTCCAGAGCCCTGTGGAAGTGGAGGATTTTCTGTTATGCGCAACGAGCAGATCATGTTATTTGGTGAAAAATACGAGCGATGGGCCATCGATGTATCGAATTTTTACTGAAAATAAGGAAGCTAACGACGAGTTGCACCTCCTTCAACTTGGTTTCCAAGAGCCCGTCCTACAGCTTGCTGCCGGCAATGATCATATCTTAATTTTGACCTCAAAGGGACAAGTGTACAGTATGGGAACTGGAAGCCGTGGCGAGCTAGGCCATGGAACATTGGAAAACGAGCAACAGCCATGCCTGGTTGAAGGCCTAAATTTCACCAAAGTCGCGCAGCTGGCCTGTGGTGCTTGGCACAGTGTTGCACTAACAGCGGATGGTGATGTTTATGTTTGGGGCTGGAATAACAGTGGACAACTGGGCGGGTGCTGCGCAGAAGGCGAAATTCTGGACATCCCCTATCCTTTGGATTACGATGAACGCATTTTGGCTGTTGCCGCTCAACGAAATGGAACTGTGCTGAAAAAAAGTGACAGTTCCGTGCTCACGCTCGGTAGCACTTCCTTTTGCTGAAAATGTCGAAAAATCTTTTTTTGGAAAAC